TTTCTCCGTGGGAACGGTCAACCACTTAGCTCTCAGCGGGTGTGTCTTGTAGTCTCCTTGTTCGGGGTATACCGTGGCCTTCTACGACCTTGCAGACGTCGCCACAGTTACAAAAGGATTAACTGGCGGCGGCGACGTTCTAAGGAGAGGACCCCATTTTGCACTATCGGTTCCCTTTCATGTGCCGCCGTTTCTCACAGTCAGTCGGGGAGTACGACGCCCGTTAATTGCCGTGACGCGGTGTCGCCGAAAATAGCCGTCCGTGACAGTCATTATAATCACTGTTTTCAGGCTAACCTTATTTTAATGTAGAAAAGAGGCAATTTCCTGTTCTTTTTTAGCCTACCATCTTGACAATTTTGTGTATAACAGGCTTCTATAGCTTTAAATGAGCTAGCAAGCATGCTATGCTGATCATGTAATAGGAATCGCTGCTAGGCAAATCACTTCATCGGTCACTGGCTATCTGGCATCATTTATGGTTCTGCATAACCTCACTAGAAAGACCAACGCATTTGCGCAAGGCAATAATTTACACTTGAGGTAAAAAGCAACGTAAGGTCATTGATCAAAAGATCAGATATGATGACGATTTGCAACTCCTACTGAGCACTCGTCACATAGTGGCCAAGCCTGGAAACAGTGCTAACAGGGTCCACCTTGAAAGGAGGTATGTTACCATGTTGTGCGTGTTGAGAAGCGGCCGCATAGTTCTTTTGTTTCTCTATGCTGCACGTGCGAGCCCGAAAAAGCAGGAAGTGATGTCCAAATACCATTGATGTGTGCCGTAGCATGTGGCATCTCGGTGGAAAGATGGCGACGCATCGTTCAATTATTTCCTGAAGGATGCAGACGATGCGCGACGGAGAACGGAGCATATCAGAAACTTGCGCATTGGGAGAAGGTGACCGACACAATGGGAGTAGTTTGTTCTAATCTATTCACACGCTACAACTTAATTCTCTTCAGTGAGTACACCATTATTTCGCGTGTGCGCATTATTATGAGCGTGTATTATTTAGCGTGTGGGCATTATTATTATTAGTCTAGTTTCGTTTATGTAAATGAGTGCTTAAAGGGACACTGAAACACTTTAAAAAAAATGAGATTATGATGTCATGATACGCAATTCGATACGTAAGGCAAAAAACTAGCACAATAATAATGAACAATGCACTTTATTTTCGCCAAGTTCAGCATACCAGCTAATAGATCACTTTGAAGAAAAATAGATTTTGCCGACTCTTCCTCACGTGGATCACTGCTTTTTCAGCTGCAGCAGCTATTTCGAGTCTGTCCTCATTGTCACCGTATGCATCAAAGAAGCGGCGCAGCAGGTCTGTCGCAGTCAGTGCTTGCGCGGGCGTCGGTATGTTGAGTTCGCCAACATTAGGCTCCGGGATGTCGACACATTCGTCACTGTCGTCATGCACCCCCGTCACCGCGCACTCAATTTCCGCATCTGACAACACTTTGGTTGTCACCGCATCAGCATTGCACCGACGTACATGAAGAATGTGTTGCAGTCAGGCACAACGACAGCGTCAAGAAGAGCGTCCCACGATGTTGGGGGTGGTCGCCTGCGGCACCCTCACTTGTGACATTGCTGAAACCTTTGGCCACTTTTTTTTTCTTTATGCCGAACTAAACGGCTTTCAACATTGCTGACTTATGCTCGATTGTTATATTTTTGCGCTTACGTTTGCTGTTGCTCTTGTCCACCTCGTGTCTAGTGGCAGAAACTGATAGAGCTGGTGTTGCTCTTCCACAGCGAACGACATAGAACAAAGCCACAATCTCCACCGCCCCGGCATGGAACTGAAGGGGAGAACGAGGTCATATGCGCGGGTGTGTCGAGTTCTACAGTAGAGGGGAGGCCGGCTAACGCTCACGCGAGTTGCTGCGCGGGCGAGTCCATTAGTTCCCGAAAAAAGGGGAGGCAGGGAGACTCATACACATGTGCGTGTTGACAGGCGGCTCCCAGGGAGCGAGTTCTGAATTACCGGTGCCGTAATGAGACGTAAACTGTCGTGCGCTATGAGATATTAAATTGACGTATACCAAAATTATCAGTAAATGCTTGTTGTGGGCAAAGATTGGTTCGTTATATTCATTGCGAGGAAATTTTTGCTTCGTTAAAATGAGATTTTATATACATGGGCATCTATGGGAATTTTAAAGGGAATGACAGTTGCTTTGTTATACACATTAGTTTGTTATGTCCCGCTTCGTTATAACAATGTCCCACTGTACTGCCAACACGAACAAGTGAATGTCTGCAAGCACACAACCTTATTCATTAAAAATTTATTAACACGGATCATCGAACAATAAGTAAGGAGCACTCCTGTTATAATCGAAACTACGATTTGCCTTATCTCAAGATCCACTGGCCCAGGCATAGCTCCATTTTGTAATCAAGGGAACTGCGTGTGTATTCAGCTTTTGATGGGACAAAGGAACTCAACAGAATACATGCAATTGGCAGCTCGAGTTGGAGCATAGTTACCTCGAAAACTGTCAAGGCCTTGCCTGTAGCAGTGTTGCAACACAGCGCAAAAGTGTAGCACCAGAGAGGCCCGCTACACATGAGCATTTGCCTCCTCCTACATCGGGTTTGCTAGACAGGTTTTTCAACTTGAATTAAATCTGATGGGGTTTGCAGAAGAGGCTTGATGTTTGCGTGCACGGCGCAACTATTTTTGCTGTTTTGCCAGCGAAATCCTTTACGCCGATGAGAATGAGGCGGTCCGCGACCAGCATCATTTCGCCTTTGACGAAACAGTGCGATTCGTTGCCACAATGAACAAACCTCAGCACAGCGCCAAGCGAACGTGCCGCGTTGACCCCGTTAAGCATAGTCATTAGTGCTTTTCCAATGAGTGTTGCAAGCACTCGGGTTGTTTTATGGAGTTGTGAATAGCATGAAGAATGTGTTGCACTTTGGTGAAGAAGCTTTACAACCAGTTCTGTTTTAACATGAGCCACCCATGAAGGCATTGCAATGTTCTGCCAATTCTGCTAACTTCTATAATGAAAGGACTGGGCAATGCCGGCTGATTCAAGGGTTATGATGTCAAGCACATCTCTCTGTGCTTGCTGTCATGGAAGAATGGGAGAGCTGGCATTCTTTTGATTTGACCAGGCAACTTGCAATGATTAGGACTTGAGCATTTCACTTCTATGTATGTGACCTAGTTGAAAATGGTTATAGAGAAATGGGAAAGCTTTTCTAAAGAAAATCTTTGCGAATGAACATTGCATTGAGTGGGTGTGCTCTCTGATAACAAAAATGTGTTTTGCAACTGTAACTTGAAACGAGCCTGTAGGCTCCTTTCTCTCATCTCCCTAAAAAGCAGAACTCTCTTTGATGGTTGGTCTCTCTTTCATAGGAAATGTTTGTGGCACATCTTTGTGAGAAATGCGTCTCCATGGAAGTTGTTGCAGCTGGTTGGCCATTCAAGGGGCCCTGCAACACTCTTTGAATGTGGTCAGAAAATGCTGCCAATCCATAGTCGAGGCTTCCCAGAACACGTCAGGCAAATATTATACTGCAGCACACCGCCCTAAATTTACGATAAATTCTAAATGTCAGCTAAAAATTGCCTTCTCTTGCCAAATGATTCTACAGGCTCAAAAATTGCTGCATCACTGGCGAAGTATCAGTTATTGGCTGATATGAGCATGGTGCACTTGGTTGCTACTGGGGCTGCTGCGACTTGTCCACACGTGTGCTTGCGATTACACTGAAAAGCCGTACATAAGAAGAAAAAAAAAAAGAAAGAAGAAAAAAGTGCTCAAGGTTTTGAGGCATGCGGGACGTATTTTCTTCCCCCACGCCTGCTCTCCTTGCTTAGCTTCCAGTGCATTCGTCAGGACGAGAGAAGAGAGAATGCATCTGCAGCGTGTGACAAAACCCTGCCCGTACTGGATGGATTTCAAAGATTTTTGCGGTGGGGATGAATTCGTGAAGCAATAAGCTCCTTCAGCAAATTCATTCCATGGCTACTTTGAAAGGCGTTGCAAGGCCCCTTTAAAGGGATATTAAAAAAAAATTTTAGTCCCCAAGATGTTGCCAATACCAGGCAACAGGAAGCCTCGAGCTCACTCGTTCCCGCCGCCGTCCCGTCTGCGGGAGCCGCGGGGGACCTTCTCCGTCGGCGACGCCGCCGCTGGGAGGCGGCGCTCAGAAGCTCAGAGCTCAACGACCAGCTCTGGGCTGTCCGGCAGGCTGAAGATGCCGCCCGAGTTCAGGGACTCAGCGCCGCCATCTGAGGCCACCAAGACCAAGCTGCCGGCCAAGTTCTAATAAAGTTTCCTCTCTTTCTCCCCAAGATTTTCGACTACATTGAAAGATTGGTCATCAAATCAATAGAGACAACCTTCATTCCATGCAGAAACTACAGGAAAATGATGAATTTATTGTGTTTTTCACAACAGCCACTCTGTGAACCAGTGGAGGCAATGTCACATATACCCTGAACCGGCCAGCTATAGTACTAGCCGAGTGTGTCCCGCCGATCATAGGGTCATAACTATCGTAACGCCAAGATGCTGCAGCAACGGCTCGGTGTCGTGGAGCGGTGGTACTTCAGTCGCGCGACTTTGCACTGCTATCACTGCCTTCATGCCTATTAACGTGTTTACGTTTGTGGCACAGTGGCCACTTTTAATCGGGATCAGGCTTAATTGGGATGAAGACAATTGTGACTGTGCACGACGTCAGTGCTGATCTTCGTTTTTTCTAGAGGCCAAGGCACAAGACACCTGCCGAGCATCGTCTGCTATTGCTCGCCACAGCCAGAATTAGGTTATGTTTTAATGATATAACTTGAAACACTTGCATAAGGTGATAAAGTTTGGATAAAGAGATAAAGCCACATGTATCTATATCAGTTTATAAAAAAAAGGAAGTGGATTAATTTGACAGTGACTGGTTAAGGTTACCAATTTATGCTTTTTTTTTTTTTTGTTCTGTTATGCTTTCACTATGATTGTAGTTATCGTGACGCTTGTGGCACTCTACATATGCGTGGTGTGGTACAAGGCACGGAGGGATCGCTGGCAGCAGCAGGTCTACAACCTCGCAGAAAAGATCACAGGTGGGTGCCTCTAAACTGAGATGTATAGCACATCCCATATTTTGGTATACGCAATGGCTTTTGCTTAATATCCTAATAATATCGGGTTTACGTCCTGAAACCAAGATATGATTATGGGAGACGCCGTAGTAGAGGGTATCGGAACTTTCGACTGTTTGGTGTTCTTTAAAGGGACACTAAGACAAATGACATTTTATGTCAGAGTGAAAACTGAATGTATGAAAACATCTGAAATGGAAATTATCAACAGTAGTGCTTTACTTGTCAAGAAATTAGGCTGAATGTATAAGACATGCGCCACGAGTGGGAAATTTGTGAAATGATCCCAATAACGTGAGAGCGTCAGACTACTATTAATAACTAGTAATCAAACTAGCTGCAATAAAAAAAAACTTTCCGGGCATCGAGAGACGTAATAAAATGGTGCTTGTTTGTTTCTATTTGATTTATAGAAAAAATAACTATGGCATCATTATGGAGATGACATAACTATGGGGAATAGCACGAGTGGTTCAGAAGTTCAGTTTTCGGCCAGTTAGACCAGATAGGTGTTGCCATCTAGCTGGGCCCAGTTGAACCATGCAAGCAGAACCATGGCCTCTGAGATAGCAGAAAATTGTTCAATGGCTGTTGTTGCTACTGTGGCTCCCGCTACTCGCGCTCTGCTGCTACTGGTGTCTATTTCACGAGATGAAAAAAAAATGTCTGCATTAACCGAATGTCAAATTATCGAAAGTATCAAGAAAACAATTGTCTGTTACATCACTACACTTCCATTTTCTTGATGAATTTGAAATCTCATAGTTACGTAAGAGCAGTGTAAGAACTGCAACTTTTATCCTGCGACTTCGTTATCGATACGACTGCGGCGCCAGACTCTTGTGTTTACTTACCCTGAAACGTGGCCCGCACTCTTCCTTGTGACCGTATTTGCACGATTGTAGGTTGATCCATATTATCTAAATTAAAAATCTGAAGTTGGGAGGTCGACTTACAGTTGAAGCCGAAACAAGAGCTGCTGCTTTTTGTCTCTCTCTCTTCTTTTACTCATATGATTTTTGAGCAGTCCACCTATATTTCAGTTAACTTACAATCGTGTAAAATACAGTACATATGGCCACCACTACCTACAATGGTGTAACCTACAATCGTGTAAATACGGTCACAAGGAAGCGTGCGGAGCACGTTTCATGGTAAGTGAACACAATAGTCTGGCGCCGCAGTCGTATCGATGTGACAATAGGGTGACAATAGTCGTAGCACGTGACAATAGTCATATTGAAGTGAAATGGTGTACAGCTGATAGTTTATTCATCATCACGTAAAAAACATTTTATGCCATAATGCAGACCGTGGCTGAAAGCTCTTCATCTTCAACAGCTTCTGCCATGTTTTAGCTTTGTGACAATGCGTGTGCATTGCATCGAGTTACAACGAGGTGGCTTAGTGTCGAATCCTCATATAGACAAAACTGTGGTCACTAACTGTTGTCGATAGCGGTGTGGACAACAGCGCTTCGTTTTGGCTGTCTGCAAGTGCATTTTTGCTCTTTTGTGTGGCACATTTCTCGCACTTCACGCTATGCACACTTAAAAGGGCCCTGCAATGCTTTTCGAGCATGGTCGGAAAACACTTCTTGATCGGTAGTCGAGTCTCCTGAGAACATGCGACCAGGAACTTGCAATAAATGATCAAAGTCAGCTAAAAATTGTTTTTTATCTTCTCAACAAATGACTGAACAAGCTCAAAAATCACTCCTCACAGCAGTTGTATCTGCAATTGGCTGATTTGAGCATGGCACGCTTGGTCGTTACTGGGCCCGCCACGGAAAGCCGTGACTTTGTCTTTGTGTGCACGTGCGATTGTGCTGAAGAAAAAAGTATATATATACAGAGAGAGAAAGTGCTTATGGTCACGAGGTGCGCGTGGCGTATTTTATTTCTTCATGCCATCCCTCTCTGCTTAGCTTCCTGTGCTTTCGTCAGGATGGAAGAGAGAATGCTGTGGCAGTGTGCGGCAAATATTTGTAACTTTGCTAGTACTGGATAGGTTCTAAAAGCTTTTAAGGCAGTGAATTTATGGCTTCTTGAAAATGTTTAGCAGGGCCCCTTTAAAGGATCATCTAAATTGAACGGGTTGTAGCCAAAGGTGATTGACTTAATTAGGGTTTGATGTCGTTAAGCACATACTAGACAGGACCAGGGAACACGTTCCAAAATATCTGATTTTCTGAATTAACGAGGGTTCGTTGTTATGTTAGGTTGTAGAGGTTTGCTGACAAACTAAAAGTTTTTTGCGTGTGTATTATATACAGGCAGCATGCCATTAGCCATTATTGTTGTCTAGATGGCAGTTTAATCAATCAATCTGTTTATCTGTTTATTTACACTTAATGTGTACAAGATAGTAGTCTAGTTATGAACAGATGAAAACTGAACAAAGAACAGCTGCAGCACATATTTTTTTAGAGCACTTAGTTAAATTACAGGCTCTAGATTAGCTCAAAATGCAAGGGGGGGGGGAGGGGGTGGCAAGAACTGTCGTGGACTGTACTTATACCATTTTCAGCAATTCTGAAGGAGCATGCAGAGCAGCCGAACTGCCGAGAACCCTTCCTGGCGCAAGTGCACGTGCGGGACAGGCTTATCAGCCCTTCCCAACGGTACGTGTCTGAATATTTCACCTACATTCCAGCCCAGGTAATCGGGAGCAGTGTCGCATGATGTTACATTTTATAGGGAGCAAGTATGAATGCCAGTTACTCTCATATGGGCAGAATTAAAACCATCATTCCAATTCAATTCAATTATCTTTATTTACAGGAATAGAATAGAAAAGTATTATGAGCAGGTTTGTGGGTTAAAGGCTCCAAAAAAAGGCAATTTGAGAGGGTTTAGGAGACCCATTACATGGCAACATAGGAGAGTATACAAAGGACAATTGCATCAAGCTACAGTGACAGCAACATGTGCTGTCAATGTGTGACAGCATACATGTTTCGAGCCTCAGTGCTGAAGGTAATGTTGTGTGATATTATTAGGCAATCTAAAAGCATAGCCATAGCCTCCTTTATTTTCTGTGCCTGCGCTTTGCCGCCGGGATCAAAGGGAGCCGACCGTCAGGCTGAGTTCCCGCAATCACCACCAGGCGGCGCTGCCTTCCCAGAACCGGCAGAGCCTGTTCACTGACTCCAGTGCTACCGCCGGCACTGACGGGTGGGTCCTTCGTTGCGCGTTTGTAAGCGCGGCAAGCTTAAAAAACAAAAGTGTGATACCACTCCCGTGTGCCACTTAAATATTTAGGAGAGAACATATGCAAGAGAGAAAGAATAAGTACGCAAGATAGCACATTGAACAGAACACCATACCTTCAAGGAAACGGTAGAGAAACTTGTTTATTGCGTATTAATTCATTCGCAACCTGCGGAAACGAACAAGAGGGCGTCGATCGAAACGTTCCTCACACGCACACAGTCTGACAAGCACACAGTCTCGCTCGACGGAAGGGACAAATGTAGGTACTGATACTTGTACAGCTCGATCGCTTTGTTGCCTCGTAGCAGGGATGCCGTCCTCACAGGTGATACTGCATGCCGGTGGTGACATATCGCGCCCGTCGCCATTGGTAGGGATATCATCACCATTCCACGGAGGGTAGTCGGACTTGCTACGACGCACGGCTCGCCTTTTCGTTGCTGTGGGACATTCTGACACACTGGCTCTTTTTCTGATCGCCGCGTCACTTCTCGGGGCTTTTGTCGAAGGCTGCAAGTAGCGCGGATATTCTTCGAATACGCTAGGCACCACACCTTTCATAAGCCTTCGTGTTTTACATCCTTGCTTAAAATCAGAAGCAGCGAAATGACGACTGCACACGGTTGAGTAGCAGGAAGTGGTGTTCGGCGTCCAATTGTCTCGTGAAATGACTTTTATCCACTTTTGCCGCAACTCCTCGTCGCTTGGAATTTCGTGGAATGAAATTCCTGCTTCCTTCTTTTTGCTTGAAGACTTGCAACCGGGCACGCAACAGTACGCCATCGCACCTGACGCGGGTCATCACAGCCGAATGAACCACGAAGACTTGTGTGCGTAGGCCGCTGCACGAGACAGAAACGAGAGAAACCGTAAACTAACATTCCTGATTACTTAGCGAAATTCGCTGATAGGTGCGCGGAAAAGCCTCACGAGAAAGAAGCGCGAAAAATGATAGCAAAGCATGAAACCGGCCCTGCAAACACGAGGTGCAAACGACGTTGTTTGTTTACACGCACTCACTTATTGCCGCGTGTCATCTGTTCACGCAACACAATGAAGCAACAGTTAAATATCATACTTGCTGAAAGTACTACGCTGCGAAGATAGGTGCGCGGAAAAGTATTGCCAGAAAGAAGCGCGAAAAATGATAGCCGCGCTTGACAACGGCCGTGCAAACGCGGGGTACAAACGACGTTGTTTGTTTATACGCACTCAGTTAATGCCGCGTGTCATCTGCTCACGCAACACAATGAAGCAACAGTTACAATTATACTTGCTGAAAGTACTACGTACCGTTTTGGTCGTAAATAATTGGTGTTGCAAACGTATGCAACACGAACAAAGGTTTCGTGGAGATGCGTCGCCGCGGCTGAATGCGCCGACTCGATTCTGGGATGCGAGCGCCCCTGGCGGACAGCAGACGCAAAAAGAGAGGAGGATGCGGGAGGCGGCCGAACGGGCCCGGCGGACTGACTGCGCGGGCACAGAAAATAAAGGAGGCTATGGCATAGCACAATTGAACATAATTAATTTGAACTCGGTTTAATTTTAAAAGTTTGCTTAGTTCAACAAATTCCTGCTGTGCCATATTTTGCAATGTGTAAGTTTGAGTGAATAAATTTAAACAGAAGTCAGCACCAGCCTGATCAATTTGAAATTTAGGTCCCATGTGGCAGTGCTGATACCGATTTTGCTGCAAATTCGCGAAACCCCGGCCTTTACGACCCACAAAGCAATGCATTATAGCCATACTAATGAGTGAAAGGTGAAGCACCCCAGCCTCACTGCGACCAGCGCAAAATAGATAACTTTATTCGGGTCCGGAAGAATCTTCACCCCGTTTTTATAGGGGCAAGACCGCGGGCCGCTCCCACGTTGGGATAGGGAGGCCAAGCCTCACCGCCGCATCGTGGGCCTTCTGGACAGCCCGGAGTTGGTCAAATCAGTCGTGGCTCGTGAGGAAAGCAGAGAAGGCTTCCTCCGTCAAGCCGTGGATTGTGTGGTACTGCAAAGAGGGGCACGCCCAGAGCATGTGCTTAAAGTCGCTAACCGCCCCACAGTCGGGACACAGAGGGGAGACCTCTGTGTACCTACTGAAGATGGAGAGTGTGGGATACGACTTTGTCTGCAGAAGCCTGAGAGTCACGGCCTGGGGCCTTGTGAGATTTCGATGTGGCAAGAGGAAAGCCCTGCGGCTCATCTGGTAGTGGCTAGTGATCTCGTTAAAGGTGGAGAGAATGTCCCTGAAGCAGGGTGGGTCAGCTTCTGAAAGGGTCGGACCAAGCCCGTCGCCGGTCCCACCCGGCACACCTGCTTCCCAGTGCCCGGTGGGCCGGCAAGACCTCGCGCCTGGGCATGGGCCAACTCATTGACGTTGGCCAACCTCCCTACGAAGGCGCCGAGAACCATGTAATGACGTGATGAGTCAGCACCTTACCCTCAAGTGCCCTAGCAACTTCCTCACAAACAGCCCCAGTTGAGAAAGCTCGAAGGGCTGATCTCGAGTGCGTAAATATCTCTTCTCTGTTCGACCTGAGGATTGCCAGTGCAATGGCCAGTTGCTCTGCCTTATAAGCCGACGACATGCTGATTGACGCGGCTGATAATACGCGTCCCTTTAGGTCCACAACGTTAGCAACAAAGCGATTGGAGTCACCTTCGTACTGGGCAGCGTCTACAAAACACCACAGTGCAGCCTCATCCACAGTATTTCACGCTATAACCAATCATTGTGTAGCTGATGGTGAAGATCGTGGAGCGCATGCAGGAACTCTCACTACTTTTTTTTGCCTGGTTTACACAAGTTCTATCTTCAATAATTTTGTCTATTAGGTGTGTATGCAACCAAGAGGTGGCACACGAGATGTTACGTAATTCTGCCGTACGTTTTTTTTTTATTGCAAGTTTTTTGTTTCTGTGGCATATAGAGAATTCGTGACATACATTAAAGTATGCATTAAAGTTGCATTTTAGATAATTTAGCTGTTGAATCATTTAAAGGTTGCTATTCAAAGCTGGAAATTGAGAACACTTTTTCTTTTGTTCGGAGTTTTATAACTCAGACATGAAAGGGTTAACATTCTCTACACCAGTGTTCTATTTACAGCAACAATAGCATTAGGCAAATTTTTAAAATTCGTCCCAGGACATTAAAAGTGCCTTGACGGTAAGGAAAGTCCAATACGATGTTGAAATGACTGCAGGAAACAGCTGAGCAGCCTGTGGCAAAGTGCGGTAGCATTCCTCGAGCAGAATGACTCGCGCCTGCGCACGGAACTACAGCAAATCGAGGGAGAGAGCTACCTGGTGTGGCGTTGGCTGGGCACAGCTTCCCCATCACGCTCCAAGGTGTGGCAGGGAAAGGCCTTCGAAAGCCAGAGCGGGGCCACGGGCACGCCTCCGGGACCAGCTTGCGTGCCAGCCACCTGCCTAAAGATTCGCCACATGTTCGACCCTGAAGTGTGAGTATGTCCCACGATCTTGTTGGAAGGAACTGCTTGCCTGGATCAGTACCTCATGTGACACGGTGCCTGGAATGTGAGCTGCGAGAGCACTGCAATTTTCCCAGTGTGTTCTCACCTCTTCTTTAATGTGGAGCACTTTTTAATGTGGGCCAGGCTGTACTGTATGTAGTAAGCTGTCATGGTCGCTTGATCATCATCATCATCAGCCTGACTACGTCCACTGCAGGACAAAGGCCTCTCCCATGTTCCGCCAGTTAACCCGGTCTTGTGCTTGCTGCTGCCAATTTATACCCGCAAACTTCTTAATCTCATCTGCCCACCTAACCTTCTGCCTTTATGAAACAGAAGGTTAGGTGGGCAGATTTCAACTATGATATCCTTAACCCCCGTTTGTTCCCTAATCCACTCTGCTCTCTTCTTGTCTGTTAAGGTTACACCTACCATTTTTCTTTCCATTGCTCGCTTCGTCGTCCTCAGTTTAAGCTGAACCCTCTTTGTAAGTCTCCAGGCTTCTGCTCCGTAGTTAAGTACCGGCAAGATACAGCTTTCTCTTAAGAGATATACCTTTCTCTTAAAGGATATTGGCAATCTACCTGTCATAATTTGAGAGTGCTTGCCAAATGTGCTCCACCCCATTCTTATTCTTCTAGTTGCTTCGATCTCGTGGTTCGGCTCTGCGGTTATTACCTGCCCTAAGTAGACATAGTCTTTTACAATTTGAAGTGCACTATTACCTATCTCAAAGTACTGCTCTCTTCCGAGGTTGTTGTACATTACTTTTGTTTTCTGCAGATTAATTTTAAAACCCACTTTTCTGCTCTCCTTGTCTAACTCCGTAATCATGTGTTGCAATTCATCCCCTGAATTACTCAGCAATGCGATGTCATCGGCGAAGCGCAGGTTACTAAGGTACTCTCCATTAACTCTTATCCCTAACTGTTCTTATTCTAGGTTTCTGAAAACCTCCTGTAAGCACGCGGTAAATAGCATTGGGGAGATATACACCCTTCTTGATTGGTATTCTGTTGCTTTCTTTATGGAGCACTATGGTAGCTGTTGATCCCCTGTAGATTTCTTCCGGGATGTTTATATATACCTCATCGTCGCTTGATATAAAGCTCCATATAGAGAATATTAAGCACGAGTTCACACCAAAGAGAAGCCTTCTTCCTCTTGTTCTTCAAGTGCTTTGATGATGATTACTTATTGTCAGGAAAAAAATAAACAACTAGTGCACTTAACGCAGGCAAAACCACTTATAAAAACAGCAAAAAAAGTAAGCAAATGCAAAGTATAAGTAGGAATGAAAAAAAAAGAGAAATATAGATAGAGAGGAAAAAATAAATATAAATAAAGAGACAAAATGAAACAAAAAAGGAGAAAAAGAACAAAAAGAATAGGAAGGGAAAAAAATATAGGTAGAGAGGGAAAAATAAATAGAAATAAAGAGACAAAATGAAATGAAAAAGAAAAAAAAGGAAGGAAAGTGTGGAAACCGAAGAGAAAAAAAAAACACTGCCGGGATCTGTACTTTTTTTAGGCTTGGCACTCTTTGTGCTAAAGCTGGTCTTAATTTTTTTTGTATATGTGACAGTACCTCTCTTGGGTGTTCCCTTGTGAACACGCATAGCTTTAGCAACTGGCTCTGAGTGGCTACCAATGTTATGTCACGTCACTATATGGTACAGTGGCTAGCACTCTGCCACGGCACCAGTGTGCAACATGCGGCAGGAGGATTGGCTTCTGCAGCTTTCTCAGAAGGAGGCTTTCACTGAAAAAGAGGGCAATGTTCTAGGCATATAGTTAGAATAGGCATTCTGAATACATGTAACTGTGCATGAACTGTTGACAATAATGATACACGAGTTGAATTTTATCACTTACTCTTTGTATAAGTACCTCTAGCCTGTTATGAGCTTGAGAAAAGAGTACGGTTCAGTGTTGATGTGTTCTATAGCAAATTGTAAGATATGGCCTATCTTTAATTTTTCATACTTTCTACGACCTTGCAATTGTATTTGAAATAGGGTATTCTGAAGGTAATGCATGTTTTTTGGCTTTTCTTATGGTTCTTAACCTTCTCAATCATATCTCCAGTAGTTCGGAAAGCCTGCTGGTTCGCTTAAAGGTGTCTGGGTGCTTGTACTATGACAGTAGATGGCAGATGCATGCTAATGCCACATAACCACAGCTCCTTTTCATTCTTGGTATGCTTTGCCACAACATCATGTACGTTTGACCAGGGAGCGTTTTTATACTGTAGTACAGTAAACCTAAGGGATTCGACACGGCTGTCAGGGGACCGGCGCGCTAAGGACTGCTTCGAGGCTGTGGAATAAGTAACAAAAAGGGAGTGGTGGCTTCGAATAATGGCATTTCTTAACTGTAATCGTGGCAAGAAGTCATAATAATCAAATGGCCAATAATTTCATCTTTTGACATTGTGAAGTGTCTTTATGCGATGGCTGTATCAAGTACATTGTAATGCTGGGAAGTTGTCTGAAATATTTAACATGGCCGAAAGTGCTGTTCTTGACTGAATGTATAATAAAAAGTAAACTTGAAGTGTTTTGTAGAAATATATACCCGAGGGAAAGAATTTGAAAATTCAGCGACTTGTTTTTTTTGTTGGACACAATATTAATGAGAACTAACAGACAATCACGCAGAGGAATGTATAGGGGATGTTATTTGTAATAATTATGATGTAATTGTGAAGAAAGTAAAGTGAACAAAAATATAACTTGTTGTTGCCAGGGGCTGAACCTACGACCTTCAAATACTGACGGGTTGGATGTTCTTCCTACCGAGCTACAATGGCGGTCATCCCCTTGTCCATCTCACGGAGTATATAACTGCACTTGAGTGCGAGTGTTAGCCCGCGTCGCTAGTACTTGTGATGGAGAGTGCTGAAACACTCTTTTTCTACCTATTGGCGTCACATAGCACGTGATCTTAGGAGCTGGCAGCTGACCAATAGATAGCTTGCAAGTGACGTCATTGTCGCAGCTTTGTAATGTGCTGGTTCACCAACATGGCAGCCTTGATGACGTAGAGACAGCATGATCACATCGTGTTTGACTTGCTTCAATATCATAACGATGTGGCTAGAATTCGATTGGCCTCTTTCCATCAATAACGAAAGAACTTGCGAGGGAAATAAGAATAACATTAACGCTTGACGTCTATACAAAAATAACATTAACGTGTGACGTCTTGAACTTTGCGCGCGCCATGCAGTTCACCAACATGGCGGTTTTAGTCACATCAGCGCAAGCCATCTATAATCTCTCGCCCAGTACCTGAAGGCATCAAGTCTGGAAGAACGAGACCTTTTCTATGAGTGAGGGAAAGAAGTGGAAACATTTAAGGGCTTGTTCATCTTTGTTGGACACATTATTAGTTATATTGATATTGTATGCTAGCTATATTAACATTGTATATACATTGTAATAATTAAATCTATACCTGTAATGTCAGACACCATACAACTACTTTCATATTAGTTACGGTTTTTCTTTGAGCTTTGGCTGTAATTAGAGCATCTGCATTGTCTAACTTGGACTGCATCCAATGACACTGCAGGGAGTATGAAGATGACTGGCCCAAGCAGATTGAGAATGCAATACTAGAGAAGTGTGAAGGAAACACTGGCATCGTACACATACATGTGGACACGTCATCTCGAGAGGTAAGCACAATCCGATGTAATGGCATGAGTGGCTTAGTGGTGGCAGCCCTTACTGTTATGTGGTACTAAAGCACCTGTTATGCATCCTCATTTGGGATGTGAAAGGTGCTGCAGGGCTCGACTTGTTGCTAAGAATTACCAGACCATCTGTCTCGTGCGAACACGAGCTTGAACGAAAAACCTGCATGAGGGAAATGGAGCAAAAAAAGTCAAAGTGATTGAAAGCTACACATTGGCTTCGTCAGTGCTGCATTCACGTGACTCAAAGAATAAAAAGGAGCAGATATGATGGGACTATGTAGGCTGATTGTTCACTTTGTTCTTGTGGCATTCATGTAACAAACTAAAAGAAGAGGTGTTTCGCTCAAACGTGCATCGAGTCAGGCAAGCAGTGCATTAACTTTGCCTGTGGCAGGTACATGGGCAAAATAAATTTTTAAAAGCAGCGTTTGTGTGATAACGAAGTGCACAGAAAAATAACTAGACTGGATGGTTTTTGCCTTCAAGTCATTTTAGGTGAATGCATCAGGTGCCTTTCTGTAGAAATGGTGGCTCATTTCATAGCCCATAGTTTTTAAGGCTTCATTTCATTCTTTGTTTTTCTTTTGTCATGCATTGCATCAAACGACCCATCTCGATGATAGGTGACGTGGCAGTGCCGAAGTCAGTGATGAAAAGAATTAAACATATCAGATTGATTGTCTGAAGATGTCCCCTGCTTTGTGTAAAACAAGTGAAAAAAAGGAATGTCTTGTTTAGTATGCTTGTGCGAACATTCGTACGAATATTGTGGTATTTGAATTTGCTGCAATTTGAATTTTAATTGTTGAAAATTTGGAAGTATTCGAAATGAACGAATAAATATTAATAATCGACACTCAGTTTTTTTGTAAAAGTGGTTTCACTGCAGTGTAGGTGTGCTAAGCTGTGAGAACACCTATCCAGGGGAAATCTGCACTGCCGTGAAGCCCCACTTCAAGGTTAAATCATCTTACCCTCACATCGATTCATCTCATTTTAAAGGGGCCCACTTTTTGAGCATGGTCAGAAAACCCTGCCGATCGGTAGTAGAGGCTTCCGAGAACACGCGAGCCAAATGTTATATCGCAGCATCTGGTCTAGAATGCACAATAAATTATCAAAGTCAGCTAAATATTGCATTCTCTTTCCTCGATAAAGGACGGAAGATGCTAAAAAATTACTCGTAAAATGCCCATCTATCGGCCATTGGCCGGTTTGAACATTGCGTGCTCTGTCATTACAAAGATCGCCCCAAGAGGCCGTCACTTGCCCACGCGTGCACGCACGATCGTAATGAGAAAGCTATGTATTCAAAGAAAAAAAAAAAGAAAACGAGTGCTCAAGGTCACGAGACGCTCTTTACATATTTTGTTTGCCCCTCCCATCCCTCCCTGCTTAGCTTTCAGTGCTTTCGTTAGGGTAAGAGAAGAGAGAATGCAGTTGTAGTGTGTGGCAAATTTTTGTAACTCAGCTCGTACTGGATGAATTCTTAGCATTTTTGCTGAGTTGAATTTGTGAGGCAATAAGCTCTTCCAGTGAATTGATATCATAATTACTCAAAGCTGTGTATCAGGGCATCCTTAAAGGGCCACTCACCAGGCCCCATACCGAACTTTAGCTAGACAGTGGAAGTTGTTGGGTGTCCAATGAGGAACGTTTTGCCACAAATTTTTTTCGAATCGGTTCATTACGAGTGGAGAAAACAGGTTTTTTTGAAGTGGCGCGAAACGAGGGTGAGAGGAGGCGATCTCGAAACTCTTGCCGCTCCTCCGCGTAGCCTTCGCAAGCCAAATCTCTTCCCCACACTCTCCGGCATACGACCAAGAGGTGACGTTCGCATGACGTTCCTGAACAAGTCCAGCCCCCGTGCACGCGAGTGGCGTTGCTTTGTTGACCAGCATTATTTTGTGGTCTTCTGCCTGTTTCTGCGCGATTGTTTGGAAACGCTGGCTTAGACGCGGTAGAGTAGATGAGTACAATGAGTGAGCGAACGCGTAGGAGCGTTCCACGGTGGTCGTCTGCTCAATGCGCTGACCGTGGGGACCCGAATGCATGCGAAACGCTGGCACATTAGCCCTGCATCTTGTAGCATTTCACGGGAAAAAATGTAAAAAAAACACGCACAATTTTTTATCGCGTCTCATTATTTATTTCAAGTTTTATTCATCTCTTAAACCAACAAATACATAAACTACACATGTTGTGTTAAATCAATTTCGCCATGCCACGTGGTATACTGTTGACAATGTCAGAGCAGAGTCGTCTATGTAGAGGACCAACATCGCTGCATTGCCGTGTACGTAGGGCTATTCCTACGCCTACGTCATGCCCTCATTCTCTACGCGTGCGCCGGCAGAGGGGCGGGGGAGCAGCTTTCATCTTGAAATTTGACCCATTTCCGCGGCGCGTAGTGTTGTAAATTTTGGCAGACGTGATCATGAACGCCTCGTCTACGCATTGCGCTTGTCAGCTCAAAGTTGTCAAACCTGGTGAGTGGCCCTTTAGGGGAGATATGGGTCGAAAAACGTGAGTTTTTTTTTTTTTTTCAAAATTACCAATTTTTTATTTTCGCCTGTTTTGACAAGATGAGTACCTCTACTGTTATGAAAAAAATATTACAGGTCGAGACTTAATTGGAAATGCTTTAAAATTTTATTAAAGAGTGTGGGGTCTCAGCAAGGCGAACGAGCGCCTCGCCACGCCACGCTCTTCGAGTGAACGGACACAGTTGACGCAGTTCGGTACAAAGCACGCAACATACATACATTTATTAACTAATTTAAACGACGATATCGTCCACCGAATGTTACATCGATTTTAATTAACACGCTACCATACAAACAACGTAACGCAGTGACACACTAAACACACAATAACATGATAAACACACACTAACATACCCAAAACACTAACACATACCCAAGGCGGCGTCGCCAACGCCTGACTTTCCACGTGGGACCCCGGCACGAAGCCCGCGGTGCCGAGCACCGGGGACCCATGTTACAGACAACCGTTCGCGGCAGCCGCCACGCGCAGAAGAGACTCGCTCAACGCTCGCCCACCACCAAGGCCTGCCTTCCGCCAGGGGCCACCGCCGGCGCCACCACTCCACCAACAATGGTACTCAAACTGAACACAACGCCATCTATCGCCCGGCGGCGGTCACCACCAAAATAAAGCCTTGGGGTGAGACACGTGCGCCACGCGGCGCAGACAACTTTACAGGGGGGGTGTCAGCACCCTCACAAGCACAAGGTGCCTGTTAAAAGGTCGGAAGTGTTCATTCTTCAAGCACCTTGCCGCTGTTAATGCGCCGCCGCTAGCCATTGTTGATCGCATGAGTCGAAGAGTCGAGCCTCACTCTTCAAATAACAACAGTTTCTCTCGCTGATGCAGCGCAAGAAATAATAAAAAGAATCACTCTTCTGTGCGTTTTTCGAGCGCCGCGAATGGCTTATCACATGGTACGAATCGGGGACCGCCATTGGCCACTGCGCGACTGTATGTTCTGTGAAACCTATTTGCGGGGTCCATGTCTTGTCGAGCAGCGCAGCTGAACAATGCTTTTATCGTGTAATTATCTTCGTTATGAATTGTAGTAACACAGGCACGCGCAGCGAAGCAGCAGGGACGATGGTCGGGCAGTCAACGGCGGCGTTTATTGTCCGCAGCGTGGTTATATACATTGGCATTAGGAGAGGGTGAAGGGAGGGGGGAAAAGGGAGAATGAAGGCGCACAGGGCCCAAACGAAACGGTGCGCGCTCAGCTGGTTTTGCTGGCGTTACAAACGAAACAAATACAACATGAATGAAAAAAGTAATTGCTCGCAAATGAAAGCCGTTGTGCGGCATGCTCTGTAGGAATAGGCTGTGAGCAGCTGGTCCGATTTGCGGCAGTTGTTGGCTTGCAAAAGCCAATGCATCAAAAGTCATTCACACCCGTCAGCCGGAAAGTTCGGGATGCGGCAATGGATGACGTCAGCGCCAATCTTGAGAGGTCGAAAGAGGTCGCAGTGAAAAAACTTAGCAGGGACGACATTACCATTATGTACGACGGTATGTGTCACAAGCATGGCTGCAAAATGGCATGACACTGGACTTAGTTTAGATTTCGCAGTCCTGTCGAGCTTCTTCCTAGCTTGCAGTTGGCACAAGGCTCTGCCAGATGGAGTGGAAGTTTGGCAAGTGTTTTATGGCCCTGTATATGAGCGAAATGTCTGTGAGGAGTCGGCTCGAAAAAGCCGAGAGGGGCAAGCTCATGGTGCTGGCGTATTTTAGTCACAGTGGCCGCTACAAGAAGGATTGTTCTTTTTGGTGTGCTAATTTCATCTGATTTAATGATATCTTTCATAAATAAAAACTCTATTTTAACTTTAAAACTCGTGTTCTCAAAACACAAATTTTGTCATTTTTTCCAATGTGCCCCTTTTTTTTTCGGGCACTTCTAGTGCTCAGATCTGCATGAAACTTCGCCCAAATTTTTTCCAAGGTATGACAAATGCAATTATCTAGTTTAAATTTCAATATTTTATTGTATAAAAAATTGTATGTATACATTTACTAGGGTAGGTCAAATATGGACTTTTTATGCCTATTATTTTTCACGCATATTACATATTTTGTATGTGCTTCCTAATTAGTTATTTGCACTCTAAACCTTATTTGAAGCATTATGAGCTATGAATGGTAAAAAATTACAGAAGTTTAGGGATGAAAAGAGGGGGGGGGCAAAAGGGTTAAGGTTTTCACTTTGTCATGTTGCAAGCTAGAAGTGTGTAACTTGCTAGAAAACTATTTATATATTTGAAATCAACATAAAAAGTTCCATTAACAGCTCAAGTTTCATTGCTCTAGGATGAATATTAAAAAAAAAAAAAAGTGTCTTCGAGTAGCATCTCCCTTAAGTTTAAAAGATTGTTATACCTGCTCCTATGCTCTGAGTACTGTCAACTTCAGAACGCTTCATGTTTTACGGTTATCTCTTGCATTCTGATGAAAGTCAAATACTGCTAGTATTCAAAGTTGTTTCAACTTTTTCTGAACTAAAAAAAGTGGCTTTTGCTCAGGCCAGAAATATTGCATAGGTTAGTTGGGTCGTGACAAATACGCTTATTTTTTGTTTTTATAATATGTGATATATACTACTCAAATTTGATTCAAAATTATTCTACCAAATCACTATTCACTTCGAAAATAATATTTGCTATTGGCACTTGCCTATTGTTTAGTGTTGAAACTGGGCTCTCTTTGACAACTAGCACCACTCCACTGATTATGTCCTTAGAGCATCAGACACCTGAATGCATGAAGACTGGGATTCTCAAATGGAAATAGAAATTAGTATCTCTGTATGCGCAAGTACTATTATTCTCCTAGTTCTATAATTACTACAGAAGAATATTGAAGCAAGTGCACGTCCAGATGTAAATGACTAGCACTAACCACTTTCTGTGAAATTGCAAGCTCTCTTCAATTTTCAGAATGGGTGGTCCTAGCCATGGTTTTGTAGCTTACCTTTCCTGTTCATTTTTTTTCTCTTATGTTGTTTCTTGGCGTTCCACATGTTAGGGGACCATGTCATTAAAAACGTCTGCTGCCGTATCGTTTTTTGAAAGCAGCCACTCACATGAGAAAGATATGTGAAGGATGACAATCACAGAAGTGTTAAAGCGATTTAGTCTTCATTTAATGACCATCGTTTCATGATCTCATCCTATTGAACAGGGCTGCGTCTACATGAAGTGTTCCAGCTTGGAGTCAGCGGGACAAGCATATCGTTCCCTGCATGGCTCTTGGTTCGACGGTAAGTGTTATTTGTACTTTTCTTTGTGTGTGACTTGTAAGCATAATAAACACAGATCTAAAATGACAATGTGAAAATTATGCTTTTGTTGTTCTGTGTGTGTCTGCTTTGTTTTTGCTAATAGCAGCAGGCATGCTTATAATGATAAAAAATATGGCAAAAGTATTCTTTTCTCTGTATGGGGCTTGACTGGTGACAAAAACCGAAATGCGGCCTACCCACGAGACATGTCTGCACCGTAGAGTTCACTATAAATACACTAGAGGCAACTCTGGCACTAGTGTCTATAGGAGCTGCTATGCACGGCGCTTCAGCAAGCATGGGAGTGATGGCTAGTACACGCATTTGTCTAATCTTCGAACTTCTGGCTCCGTTAGGGTTCACGTGGCTTGAAGCTGTTCTATCACGAAACAAAAATCAGCAAATGTTTGGCAGTTACGCCTGACCACCTTAATTTTTTAAGTTTAGCATTTCAGATCGGGTTATGAAGTTCAAAAGGGCTCATTCTTTTCTTCAAAACACAACCGAAACACAGCAATAAAGAAAGCCACAGGTGCGTTTGCCACCTGTAAGTGCAAAGACTAGGCAAATTCGTGTACTACCCATCATTCCCATAATCGCCGAATGATATGGTGTGCACCACGAGGCGCAAACCATTTCAAAAGAGGTGATAGCGCCCTCCTCTCTAGTTCATTTTAGGAAACCCTACGGTGTGCACTGTGAAATGAAAACGATTTCGAAGGAGATGATAGCACCCTCACAATTTTTTGGCTTTTACACATATTTCAGCCTTTTTTTTTTACTGCACATTAAATGCTGGTCCGCCTCATATTTTCACTCTCCGAATATTATAGTGCTGTGCAACTTTGAGAGATTAAGCTACATCATTTCATTTCTGTCATTTTCGAATTCTCTGCAGGGAACCTGATTACGGTGAAGTACCTGCGGCTGGAGCGATACCACGATCGCTTTCCGGAGGCACGATACTGCCAATCGTCGCTCCGGCCCAGCAACTCGTTGAGACTTTCAATGGACAGCAGCCCACCCAACCCCGAGGAGGACATGCTCTGAGGCACTTGGTGGCTTTTAGGATGATCGACTAATTATCAATCTCGCTTTATTGCGGGCTTTTGGCAAGTGGTCCAGCTCGCCCGAGTTCCCTGAAGCACTCAAAATTTAAGCTTGATTATAATAATAAAAAAAAACGAAAATAATTAACATCTCAAGTTGAGCAGCGTCTCATTTTTTCTAGGGTGCAGGGTGAAGAATGGTGGGTGTTTGATTCTTGTGCACTTTCTGCATAGTAGCAATAAACTGTACAGTGCGTGAATGTGTACAGTGCATGAAAAAAACAGTCGTGAAGGTGGCATTTGCCGACAAACTGGATGCGGAAACAGCATCACATGCTGTAAATTTCATTCTAGCCACTGCTACAAGAAAGTGTTATTCATTCCAGCTTTTTTTGTTGTTGTACTCCACGCTTCAGCCTCATGTTTCGTTTGGTTGCAACATCATGGTCAGGCTATTTACAGGTGCTGCAGCACAAAAATACTAACACATGGGTACTTTAAAAAGCCTTTCTACCTTTGGCCTTTCAGTCCAACATTGCAATCCTTCCCAACTGCATGAAAGTTTTATGTTAAGGGGCCTTCATAATATTAGACTGCATTTTTATGCTGAGCCTTTGGAATGGTCACATTTTAAAAGGTGCAGAGGTTTAGAACAGCTGGTCAATAGTATGGAACTCACAGTGCAACATTTTCAAATTCCTAAAGAAATAAGAGGTAGTGCAATAAACTATGGTAGTCACTGGTTGGCTACTGTTAATAGTATTAAAAAAAGAATTGCATGTTTTACAAAAGGGTTGGCAAGTCTGACTGGCTTTTCCTGCCTAAGTGACTGTGAGAAAACAGAAATTTGGAAATATCTACGATCCCAGTGGTTGTCATTTGAACTTGAGGGATACGCGACCCAACAAGTCTAACTGTGTCTATAGGAACTGTAAAAGTGTGAACAGGGTGTTCTAAGTAAAAAATCTGGCTAAGTCATAGTCTAAGCATGGGAGAACACGACCCAGATAGTCTCGCCTTTAGTTGAAGTTTTCTCTCGTAAGAAAGCTAAAGCCAGTTTGACATCTTTGCAGTCCAAGTGAGCAGTGGAGCTGCCAAGCAAGCCTCACCTTTTGGCGAGCGCAGATTGAGCTGTTCCTCAGATACTTGGCACAGCCTACTCCAGGGGATAGGTCATTAATCGGAGCGTGCTTTACAAGAAATTAATTAGCTTGCTGAAGGAAAAGGTTGAAGAAAGATTTAGTTCTTCCATCCTTGTTGATTTTATCCTTTCACCCCCACTTTCTCTGCCCTGCATGTTTATTTATTTGTTCTTCTACTTCTTTCTTTTCTTATCTGTTTCTATACTATTGCCCTCTCTTGTCTTTCTATCAGTCTAACCCTTACATTTACCATATTTTCGCGCGTATAACCCGCCCCTGCATATTATTTGCACCCCCACTTTCAGCTAGTCGAGAAAGAAAAAAAAATCCTCACGTATTGCCTGCACATTTGATATACCAAAAAGGCTGTACAAAAGCTACTGCTCAAGCAGTAGAGAGCCCTTGTCGCTTCATAAAGTAGTGCAGCCATCCGCGGCTTGCACAGAATCCATAAGGTAGGCCTAGCTTCCTCGACAGTCACTCCGCTTTGCAATTCCTGAATTCCTCGACGATGATCTTGAGCTTTTGCTGTGCAGTGAAGGACTTTCGCCGAACACTACTCATGGTGACAGAACAGAACGAGTTATGCTTGGCGAACAGGTCGAGATGTGGAGAACTAGTGTTATCAACGAGGTAAAGATAGCAGATGACTGAGGCACCAAACACATTTTGTGAAACGGGAAGAGCAGAAGAGCAGGAAGAACAGCGCGATGTGCCAAGGGGCTGCCAGAAGCAGCACACTAAACCTTTTAGGCGATGCGCACAAGGGGTGGTATACAAGACACCCCTAAGCTACGGCAAGTCCTACATCGGACGAACGAAACGTTGCATCAGTGATGGATTGAGGGAGCATGCCAATAGCTTAATCAAAAGTGATGATGCACGTCTTCCTGCGCACTGTAGAGCGTGCGGATGTGAGCCATGCTTTGAGCAAACTGTGATTCTTGGTAAAAGTAGCAAACAAACAGCTAGAGAGCTCTGGGAAGCTTTTTTTATCAAAAAGAAAGGGCCTGATTGTATCAATAAAACATTTATGATGTTGCATTCCACAGAAATGCGGTTTTCGATAGCTTATTGCCTTGACTATGTCGCTGTACGTCATTTGTTGGCTGTGCACGCATGCGCAGTCTTCTTTTTTTCCTGTGCATTTCTTAGATTGTCGTTAAACAGTTGGTAGTTGGCGCTGTTCTTCTTCTGCTCTTCCCATTTCACGAAATGTTTTTTGCGCCTCAAGTTATCTGCACCAAGTAAGCACCAAGTCACCCAAAAACAAGTGCTTTTGGAAGTAAAGAGAGTTCACACGCGCTGACAACTTTACTTGACAGCACCGTGGAAGCAATAGAAGTGAAATGCATGTCTGCTACCTCGAATTCACTGATATCTCACTTGCCGTGCTGAAATAAATACTGCTTTATTTATGACTTATGGAACTCAAAACGGTTGTGGGAAATGTAAATAAGATACGGGTATTGTTCACTTTGCAAAAATTCCTTTCCTTTCTTTTTATTTCTTAGACAGCACTACCTTTTCGGCAAGCCTTTTTGCAAGGTAAACATAGCGTCCATAGCGTCCGTGATGTAGGGTCATGTGGAGGGTGGCGAAGAGTCACTGTGCGGCCGCAAACATCTAAAAACATACTTGTGATGTAACAGTAAGGTTTACACTGAACAAACGAGTTGTCTATCCTCAAATGTTTCTCTAATAGCTTCAGCGATGCAAGGAAGCAATACCAAAATCGACCACAAGCTGTTGTGCTTCTTGCGGAGCAACACGAATTTGCAGAAACCACTTCCATAGCGTTCGCTACATTGTCAAGAGGCTTAACTGCACAACACGCAATGCTGTGAAGCAGCAATACAGAAAAAACTCAGCGCATTATTCATACCCTCACTTGCACCCTGAAATTTTTAGGTTTTTGGTGCGGGTTATACGTGCAAAAATATGGTAATTTCCCTTCGCAACCTTTGCTATGCTATGGTTTACCTTTTCACTTCCTCATCAACCGAACGTCAGCCTTCCTCAGTCATGCTTCCCTTTCCCACCGCCTTGCCATACTGCTATGTTATGCATGGTCATGCTATGCTAGGAGCTGTTTGGCATATACCTGTTTCTGTTGGTCATGTAAACTAGCGGAATGAGAAGCCTAAACAGCTTTGCTATTTCGTATTAAGTTGAGAAAGACCCCAATGCATACTGTTAGAGATAAGCAGGGCAACATTGACAATTTGTAACGATGTAGTGAAGGTAGTTGATCGAGTACTTCTACTCAGAACAAAAGAGCCCCAATGCTAATCGTCTTCCTCCAAGTTGAAGCAATATCAACCACGACACCGAAGTACCAAGTGTAACTATCGATTAGGTTAGAAATACCAAGTGTAACTATCGATTAGGTTAGAAAGGCCCGACAGCACATGTCCCACAGTAAAGCAGCTGAGAAAAAAAGCATAACCGATTTGATTAAAGGGCCACTCACCAGGCCCCATAACAAATTTTAGTTAGACAGTGGAAGTTGTGTGACTGTTGCAGAGCATTATGCCATAAAATTTTTTTCAATCGGTTCATTACCAACTGAGAAAACTGTTTTTTTGAACCGGCGCGAAACGAGGATGAGAGGAGGGGAACCCTTGCCGCGGCCCAGTGTAGCCTTCGCAAGCCAAATCTCTTCGCTATCCTCTCCGGCATCCGACCAAGAGGTCATGTGCGTATGACATGCCCAAGCGAGCCCAACCCCAGAGCACGTTAGCGGTGTTTTTCTTTGTTGTTGTTGTTGACCAGCGTTTTTTTTTTTGGTCTACTGCCTGTTTCTGTGGGTTGGTTTGGAAACGCTGGCTTAGCTGCGGTTGAATAGATGAGCACAATGAGTGCGCGAACGCGTGGGAGCGTAACCTTCGCTTACACGGCTGTCGTCTGCTCGGTGCGCTGACCGCGGGGACACGTACGCATGCAAAACGCTAGCACATTAGCCCCACACCTCCTTGCAATTCATGGGAAAAAAATTGAAAAAAAAATTCACCATCTTCAAATTTTACCCGTGAACGCCTTATCTACGCATTGCACTTGTCAGCTCAAATTTGTCAAACCTGGTGAGTGGCCCTTTAAAGCTGGTGGAGATTACCCCAACACCCCGAGCAAGCGCCCTCCCTCCCTTCCTTCTTCGGGAGATTTCAAATACGCGGCCTGTTCTCCCCTCCCACAATTTTCACTATTTCATTCAGTTTTTATTTGCCCTATGATGGCAAACGAAAACTTTAATGCTCGCATATTCAATAAAGCATTCAATTACAAGCACGGGAGTGCATTGTTTATTTTTCGTGGTTCTTCTGCTGCCATTTTGAATTTTTATTCCTGGCTGAGCAAGGGCCCCACTACAAATCTTGTCGAATCATTCTTCTCCATAGGGGTGGGTGCTTGCTTGGGATTTTATGGTATATGCAAGAAACTTACATTCCCATACATGTCTTTAAGGGTTTGAATGTACCAGTGAGTGAGAAGAATGTCAATATATTTATTATAATATACAAAGAGGGAGACGTTCACTGTTAAATATTCATCTTTTCTGTTTGTGCATTTCATAAGAACCGACTACAAGTACTGTAGTTTGTCTTATTCGCATCTTGCAGGCGGTATGACAGTGCTTTTGTAGTGACAGCAAGTTTTTTTGTAATTTGCCAAGCACTGTAGACCTTCTGTATCATAGCATGCCACAAACGTTATTTTCACCGTCCCTCCACCATTTTTATGCGTTCAATACTGCTTTATGAAGCAGGTTTTCCCTAGCAGTAGATTTTTCTGCCCATTAACCAACAAATTTACGAAGTTAAATGGCATTCCTGACTACAAGATCACAATACGTGGCCGGCCTTGCGAAACATTAACATTTGTCCGTTGATGTTGAAGTAGGGAGTCATACTGGGCTCGCACTGTTTGGGAAGCATTTGATGCAGCTGCTATGGTGGCTACAGTAGTTGTATTGCCACCAACAGCTATGCTGGACGAAGACCGCACATTCTCCTTTGGACTTGCAGTCTTGGTGGATTGGTTTGCTTGCGTGTGGTCATGCTCTGAAATGAAAGCAAGTGGTTCTCAGTACTGACCGCTTGAAGTTTTGAGCGAAGTCATAATGAAAGAGAATTAGCAGCACTGCCTAGGCACTCTAAATTTATACGATTTTAGTAAGGTTACCATCTCATGGTTGCATCAAGGTGTTACAATGAAAGGCCTTCAGTTGCAATCACCATTAGCTACCACAAACTCAAAAGTGACCTCAGCAATATGAAATGTAAGTGTTGTGTGTCACTCCTTGAAAAATGACCACTGAGCAAGCGTGATTTTTGTTAATGCTGCACATTTGTACTGGCTTAGTACACTAGATTGCTGAGCCCCTCTGCAGTGCAAGTGCTCCCAAGTGATAGGATGGCTTCTGTAAGAAGCTGCTGTGCACTAAGATACCACTTCCAACAATTCACTGAAATCCTGTCTTTGGCCTCGAGCATGTTGTAAAGAAAAACTCACCTGCAGGTACAGAGAAAGAGTATATCGTGATGCAAAAGCAGGCTACCATTACAATGGTTAGCAGTGCAGCCACAACAATGAAGCGAGACTTTGGGATGGAGATGATCTCTTGGTGGCCTGGTTTCGAATGCACCACACTGCAGAGGAAAACACAATTTTTTTTTTACTGTTATCTGCATACCAAAGCCTTGCTAAACAATCTGTGCACTTTGCATTGTGTTTATCACATAAAGTGTGTGGCAAAAGTGGTGAAGCCAGTATGCACTGCACCTATATTTTCGTTCCAATAAATTTGTTTGCTAACAAACAATTAGCAACAAACTGCAGAAATTGCATGAATTGTTGCTCATGATGATGCTGTTGGGCAAATCATGCTGCTATGCTATCTGTTGCTTTAGCACAAAACCTAAAAGATTTGTTTTCTACCAAGGAGGCTTATTGTGCCCACAATGTCTTTTGCGACATGGGAGTGCACTAGCTCATAGTGCTTCCCCAATTCAGCTGATCAAACGGCTTTCTCCTGAGCTTGCCTCCACAGAGAGATGTCAATCCAACTAGCCTCAGTTCATCCAGAAGCAAATGCATACATTACCTAACCATAGAGCTGTCACGCTGCAGGCTTCGCTCCGATATGGATCGATGCGTTGTGCATGAGTGATTTACCGTCATGAGGACTTCTATGCTTGTAGGGAAGGTGCTAGGAAAGTGGCTGCAGGAGAGACAGAAAAGCTCATGACAAGCACTCGCATCATATCAGTTATATATCAAACAAAAACGGAGCGAGAATATTTTTCATTCCATATTCATTTTAGAGAGAAATATTTGGCATTTTGTATTCGAAAAAAAAAACATGTGCTTGTGTTCAGTAATATTCATCTTTTTTGGTCATTGTTTTAAAGGTTATTTGCAGCTGACAATACTTAACTTGAAGGACTTTTACTGAACTAGCAGGGGCCACATTTCTGTCTTATCATATTATAAACAAGAATATAACAAGGTAAATATAATATAAAAGGTTCCTCACCAAATCTTTGATATAACAAAAATGTGCTATATCGAATGCGACTTGGTTAAAAAGAATTGTTCGATTGAAGCATATGTACAGAGTCCCCTAATGTTGGGAAAGCGCATTTCAAAAGCAGGTGAATTGTCAGTGGAAGAAACTTGCCTTCGGCTGCATTGAGCTGCCTCTTTCATGCAGCAGATTTCGTTGTGTTTGTGGGCATGTGTCTTGCTGTCATCATCCTTGTGGACTTTGATGTCTTTGTCCTTGTTTGCCCTGCCCTCTTTGTCCTTGACTTTCATGGAGATCTTGCAGTTGCCCGAACAGAGCTGGCCAAGCAGGGCATCCAGTGACTGAACACCCATAGCTCTGGCAGGGCTCTGGGTGAGAGCCCTGGACGGTGAGTGGCCAGAGGCCGCCTCTTGCTTGTGGCACCCTGGGAAGGCCAGCCTGCAAGAACAGTGTTTGCCACATCTGCAAACATGAGCGTACTAAGCAGACTTTCAAACTTTAACAGCTCAACAGGAAACCATTGAGGGATGACTGACCAAGCTTTCTAGCTAAACTACTGAGATGTGCTACTGGAAGCACTCATTACATGATTGATTTGTGGTGTTTAACGTCCCAAAACCACCATATGATTATGAGAGACGCCGCAGTGGAGGGCTCTGGAAATTTCGACCACCTAGGGTTCTTTAACGTGCACCCGAATCTGAGCGCACAGGCCTACAACATTACCACCTCCATCGAAAATGCAGCCGCCGCAGCCGGGATTCGATCCCACGACCTGCGGGTCAGCAGCAGAGTAACTTAGCCACTAGACCACCGCAGCGGGGCCACTCATTACTTAATTAGCTGTGCTGTTTTGTTATATGAGTATCCTCATTCATGAATAGACTCATTGGACTGATCCAGGTTCGGATCGAGTCGAGAGTATGAGTGAGTCTGAGTGACTATATTGTTTGGCGAGTTTGAGTTCTAGTAAGTATCGCTGAGAAAAATTCAGCAAGTCTGAGTACAAGTAAGTCCAGTTTAGGAAAACTTTGGCGAGTTGCAGAAAGAGTTTCAAAGATAAGGCATCACAAGTGTGCCTGGTGGGCCGTGGATGGACCCTCATATGTGCAATGAAAGCATGATCACAATATTGATGCTTGTTGCTATGATTATGGAGTGCATTATTTAGCAAAGATTCATGTTTCATATGTACAATGTTTTGGCGAAAAAGACGCGAGGTTCTTTTATATATATACTGTCATGCGTGACATAATTACAAAATGCTTCAACCTCTGAGCTGTACATACACTCCGCCTCACTACAGCCTCTGGAGCATACGTACCGGGCTCTTTCGGCTGGACACAATGACCGTGTTTTGTTGGGTAGCTGCATGGGCTGACATGATGCGGGTCTGGGTGGCAAGGCGGGCACCTCAGATTTGTCTGCACGTTCGGCTTGCTGATGGGCCACAGTGTGGCCCTGCTGTCTGGCCCTGGTGCTCAGGTCTTCCTCTGGCAGGGAGATGCGCACCCGCGGGCCATAGGTCCCACTGGCTGCTGTCGGCTTGTGCGGCTGCACAGACGTCGTGGAGGAAGGGCACTTCTTGGACTCGCAGTTGCTGCTGCTTTTGTTGGGTTTCGCCAATGACTTGGGCGCTCCTCCTGAGCCGTTAGTGCTGACTGCCTCAGGTTGTCGACTGCCCCGCACCTGCTGCTGCTGCTGTGAATGGCTTTCGTGACTGGCATCATACTCGGCATCCAGCAGCCCAGCTTCATCGTCTTTGCTTCGCCGTCGGCCGCGGTACCACTGCACTCGATAGCGGCCACATTTTAGATAGCGATAACTGATACTCCAACTGAAATAAAACTTTACAGTCACTTTGCATACAGTGCACTGCTACCCACATTGCACAGATGGCGCACGAAACGGCGCACAAAAAGTGGCTAGGTCATGGTGGACGACCATTGTTTTCTGGTGGGAAGGATCGGAGCGGAGTGAACTGGGGTCATGAACGCAGTCCAGGAGACGCTGTGGGAATTGTTGCAGCGCGGCTGTTAACATTCTGATGTAAAATCGTCTCGAGGTAGCTGCAGAGAACGGCCATAGTAGTGGGAATGAGGAAGAAATAAAAGGGGAGGGAGGTTAATGCATAGTTTAGCGATGACGAGTGGAGGAGGGAGCAAGTGGAGATTGCAGACATTGTTAAAGAAGGTTATACCTGCTCCGTTGATCTTTATTTTCGCACCACTAGTGCGCCGCTGCTTTGTGTGTATGTGTGTGTGTGTGCGGGGGGGGGGGGTGCGACTAAGCTCTCTATATTTCACGATTCGTGCGGCGCATTAAAATCGCCACGCATATGCCTGCGCTCGCATATGAAATGAACAATCCAGCAATATGAAACCAATCTTTCACACAACGCCTCATTATGAACTCTAAAAATAACTACGATCACTAAGCTCTGGAAAAGAAATAGCAGCAATGCAGGGGTATCACCCGTGTCTTCAGGAGCTCTGATCGTATGCGTACCTTGCTGAGAGGATTCCTGAAGAGGTGTTCTTCGCCGGCGTTTTCGCTGCGGCACTCAACGCTGCGACAGCGCCGAGAATGTCCCCTGCGAGGCTCCTTCATGTTACAAGCGGCTTTGCGTGCTTTAGATCACTATCATGACAGCGGGCAACTCCGCAAGGCCAGCAGTTTCTACGCCAGAGCGTAGCTTCTGGCTATGCCGGAATCGCCCCTTGAAGCAGACCGCGCGCGACAAGGTTCGCGTTTCGGTTTCGTTGTCTTCTAATAAAAGGCGCCGGCAGCGCCTTGTCAACGATGGAGGAATGTACTTCCTACAAGCTGGAACTTATCAAAGCAATTCGTGCTTTTAGTTTTCTTAACTGAAACGAACGCACAAGTCAAGTTATTCGGGATATTGCACACACAAAAAAGCTGCATATCAAACATAGGTTTCAGTTTTGTTTTGTTGATTCCTTTGTACATTGTCGGGTAAATGACGAGCTGATGCCATGAGATGCCTTTATTTATAAGAGAACATGGATTTTCATACAAAACTTTATATGAGAGCATTAGAAAATATTGTTTGCGGCAGCTTGGACAAACGCATCGCAGTAAGCATCAACAATCGCGGCATTTGCCGAAGTAGCCGAAGCGTGTTGGTGAGGTTGAAAGCTAGCAGGACTATGAAAACAATTTTGTGGAACTCTCACGTTTAGGCGGAACGCATTGCAGATAGCTGCGAACATGAGTAACAATCAAGGGAACCTCAGTGGTCGGTTTTCTTCGAGCAATGGCCGAATGCCGGTGGTCGACGACATATTTGCCAAAAGAGCCAGGATGGAACGTGTGAAGCCAGCATTGAAACAGGCGACTGTCAACTCTCTCCTCGCTTTGGCCGTGCTCATCGATCTGTGCGTCTACTTTTTTATATGTTTGTACTGCAATTCCGTCTGTTACGCTTGTCAGGTGGCACTTAATGGCCGTTCATTGTGCTGCTTCTCGCTCGATGTTTCGGTTGGTTGTGATCGAGGCAAGGTTCAGTTTGGCGTTGCATAAGTCAGTTGCCAGACTTTGGCAACTCATGGGTGATCGACACCCATGATTTCATTTGAAGGATGAAACCAAGCACGCTACTAGGATCATCACAATGATCCCACTATAGCACAAATAACGCTGAAGTCTTTAATGCAAATAAAGGCAGAACACCTATGCTGGCGGGTAAATTTTCTTTCTACCAGGGCCCTAGCTCTAACCAGCGAGTCCACCAATGTTCTCTTGCAGCTGATAATTTAGGCAGCCAGAATATTTCCCGTGAGAGCAAGCCCACAGTGATATGTAGCCTATGAAAATTAAGTTCTATATCGTATTTACTTTCTAAGTAACTTTCCTTTACCGTATACATAATACAACATAAATTCTTCAGGGCTGTTTTGTTCAAAGAGTGATGTATAAAAGAAAACCCGTAAGCATATTCAGTTGCGAAATGTAGACTCAGCGTCGCAGAAATAACCCTCGGAACTGGTGCTACGTTGATAGGATGGCACCGTAGCCGTGATTGGTTGTGTAATTGTTTAATTTACGAACAGTGTTAGTTGAGTTGACTTTACTGTTTTGTTCCGGCAGGCGCCTAGGATCGGTGATGAGGTTTTTTGAAGAAGAGTGGTTAGTGCTTTGGTACATTGGTAAGTTGATCTACTTAAAATGCTATTTTGGTGCTAACCATTCCCGCTTTATTTTGTTATGCAGAGTGTACCTTGGGTGCACTGCTTTGTTGCAACGCCCTTGTGTACATTGCTTCATACATGTGGACTCACTTTTGGGAGCAGCCAGTGCCCATCACTCCCAAGCAGATGAAGTTGTTCCGCATATCTGAAAAGGGTAAGCCTGTAGCATTTCCTAGATGTTAGGTAACAGTAAAACGCACATTCTGATGTGCAGTGGTCAACACACATGCCTAGAATGACGGAGCATTGAGCTCAAAACTGCAGAAGTGACATCTGCTGTCGTAAATACTGCACAACTAATCATGAACCGTGCCATCGATGCGCCCGCCTTGAATTTTTTATCCTTGCTTGTCACCGCGTATGCAATTACATTGACCATCGAAAGCACTCTGAATGGCTCAGCACACACAAAAAAAAGCAAAAAACGAAATGAACTGCTGTTGTTATGACATGATACCATGAACAAAGAATGAGCTCACAGTATAAAATGCACCGATCCAGGTGATTGAACTTTTTTTTTTTTCTGTGCTATACAGTTGACAGCACTTCTGTTTGCCAAAGCAGTTGTCGTGGCCACGTCAATGAACAAGAACACAAACGGCAAAGCAGGAACATTACTGGCTTTGTGCATGCTCAGACGTGGCCTGCTTCGAACTCCAGATGTCGCTTGTGCTGTTGTGAGCGTGAGGCTCCATCGTTTTAGGGCACGCGTGTTGACCACTGTACCTGGTCAGTACTCGTACAAGATGACTGTGTTTCCTGCTTGCTCAGTATCATTCAGTCATTTACCACTCATTAGCATTGCCACATTCCCTCCTCAAGATTTGTTATCATCCCATCTCACTGTCACTAATTCTCAGCGCAAACCGTGCCAGCAGTGTTCGAGAAGCTTCAGAATTGCAGTAAATCACTTTGTTAAGATTACGCCTATTTCAAGAACATTACAGATTATTCTGGAAGCTACGTGGATGCTAGTGATAACACTAGAATATTCGATGGCACGTGTACAAATGCCGATGCACTTCGCCGCTGTCAGTGCCAGTATGTTACTGTAATCTGACTTTTCGTTTACTGGCCACAAGTTCAGCCTAAATAAACAGTTTGACCTGAACATCCAGTCTGCTCCCTTCATCCACGTCACGACCCTGTGTGACAATATGTACGGATGGGCTAATTGGTAAGAAGCAGTGCACAGAAGGACACTACTCTTTGTGGGTGGCACTCATCATCATCAGCCTGACTGTACCCACTGCAGGGCAAAGGCCTCTCCCATGATCAGCCAATCAACCCGATATTGTGCTTTCTGCTGCTGCATTATACCTGTAAATTTTTTAATCTCATTGACCCACCTGACTTTCTGCTTTCTGTCTCCCCCTCGTGTGTTGGCCTTCTCTAGGTATCCAGTCTCCTCATGACCTGCGATTATCCTGCCTTCGGTGGCAGTATAACCGCTCATTGAACTATAACTATACGATCGACACTTAGATTCGTATCATACAAAATCATTGGTTCACATTGTTGGTTAATGCTGAATGAAGCCATTGAAATGTAAAATAAATACAAGCATGATTGAGGAACACAGGACCAAACACCACGTCCTTGGTGTCTAGTTCCAGGTGGTCGAAATTTCCGGAGCCCTCCACTACGGCGTGTCTCGTAATCATATGGTGGTTTTGAGACGTTAAACCCCACATATCAATCAATCTTGGTGTCTAGTTTTGTGCTTTTACTTGAATTTCTTTTTGCATTGCATTACAATACAGTAACTCTCATTAAACGGAACCTGAAGTCAAGGGACCGGGAAAATGTGTTCCATTTAACAGGACTTTCAATGACTGAGAGGTGAAGTGAGTTGCAGCATTCAAGTATGAAACCAATCATATAACAGGAATTTGTTCCATTTAAGCAGCAGTTATGTTTAACAGATTTACGTTTACTGAGAGTCTTAGGTACTTTCAAATTATAAGAAGTGCTAATGCAATTTTTCTAAGCCTCTTGACGTAATGCTTTTATGTGGTCAGAGGATATAGTCTCTCAAATTTGTTCATGGGTTGCCCCTTACTTCTTCGACTTAGCTAGTACAAATTTTCACCTTGTTCGACCAATATGACATGACTAACATGCAGTTTTAGTGTCAGGAGTATTGCTTCTAAAGAACGTTTGAAATTGATCTTTGTTAAGACTTAGGTATAGATTCATCTGGCAGTCTGTGCGATTCTCAGAAGTTTGTGCTGGTCCCACAGCCCGAAAGTGAAGTTTTTTTTTTTTTTTTTTTCATATTTCTACGGAGTTGACATCTGCTGTGTTACTCCTATGTCAAAGTGGTACTGCTGTTTACTACAGTGCTCTACTCAAACTTCAATGATGATAGAAGTACCAGGTCCGACATGCTATCATCTCAGAGTGCAGTCACACTGATAGGTTGCATTGGTTGAAAAGCATATGTTTTAGTAAAATGGCTTTCCGGCTGATTCTCCAGCTTTGCAGCTACAGTCTCAAAGGTGCTGAGCCTATGAGATCACAGGGTTATGGAACTGCAGTAGCTGTGGCAATATGCTGAAGGTCATTTTTTAACGCAATAGCGTTAAAGAGCTCATTTCGCAGAAGTTCCTGTGTCGGCGTTGTTGGTTATGAGCGAAAAATCATCATCATCTTTGCTTAACCGAAAAATAGAGAAAAATGCAAATAAAATAAATAATAAAAAATCACAGCATATCTACAGAGTGAATGATGATGAGTGGGGCGAAGTATCTGTCGTATACACATGCATTCATCTGTCTGGCGACAAGCATGAGCTGCCGCGGCCCTCAGCTGCGCTTCGTCCATGCCCACCATCGAGGCGATGAGCATGAGCCGCTGCAGTGCCGCTGCTCTGCTTCATGCATACCCCTGAATCCGCCACATACAGCGGTGATTCCAGGAGACTGAGAGAGGCACTTGTTTCCCCGCGCACCCAGGCACAGCCCGCGCAGCAGCCAATCGGAGTGTAGCAGTACAACGCCATATAAAATATCCTCACTCAACTGCAGTTTGTATGTATGTTTTTGAGACAGTGCCATTTATTACACTGTTCGGGAGATACTGCCTTTCTTTTTTCTCGTTTTATTCTTCCGGTTACGCCTCACGCAGGAGACGGTTAGACTAAAAGGAGATTCGCCCATGAAAACTATGGGTATGAGTGGAGAATGAATCTGGGTCGTTAGCGTGGCAAGCAGATGTTCTGCTACACTGTCACTCGTCTGTTTGTGAATAGAATGAAAATAACTTCCTCTGCTTAGAAATGCAGTGACGGTTGTGGGAATCGAGGCTAGCCCGCCGCCTATGTACAGGCTTTGCCGCCTTTTTCTGCATTCTCATGTCCAGAAATCACTCTCCTTTGCGGTCTGTCGCGCTAGGAGAGAGGGAGTAAGTATTAACCCCTCTCACCCGGTAGCAGATGTCGACTGTGGCGCGGTGCGCAAAGTCTCTCGGGACGTTACACGCGCGCCCGTCAGGAGTGAGGGAGAATT